AATCTAATTCATGCATCAGCCATCTTGGGTCTGGCTTTACATGCACAAGCCAATCTAAAAGCTGACTTATCTAGACCAAATAGGAATCCATACTGCCATATGGGTGTAGATTCTTCAGAGCAAGGAAGAAAGGCCAAAGTTGGGAGAACTCTGGAACTGAGAAGTTCCTGTGCCTCAACCTTGATTCTCCTAAGGGAGCATGGCCAGAAAAAGCCTTCTCAGGCGCATTGCATACTGCTATTGTTACCTTCAAGGAGACAGTATTGTGCCTCCCCTTTGCACTAAGAAGTAGTCCCCTGCTTGTCTAGGTTTGCTGGGAGACACTCTTGCTTCTGCCTGCCTTCTCTAAAATAGCTATTTTCTCACAGCCCAGGTAATGGAGATTGCACGGAGGCTCTGAGTGATGCTGCCTTCACCATGCCCACCTGTTCTCCTCATCTTGGCTGGTGCAGGCTGACAGAAGACATAGGATGAAATATAAAGATGGTGGGATGTAGGGAAAGCAAGAAAGACTGAGTTAGATGACGGGGAGTACCAGCAAGTACAGTTAGTAGACAGGGAGCTTCTGCGGCTGGTGCCAGGGCAGTAAATCTCATAGTTTCCACTGGCAGTCTAAGTTGTGTCTTGGATTCAGGTTTGGGTGTATAAGCCTGGATTTCACATAGACAGTTAGATCTCTGCCAGAGTGCTCTCCCTTTCTCCCTGGTCCAGTCCTGTCCAGGCAGACTGGAGACTATGTGATCTCCTACAAATTGTGCTTGCAACTGTTGTGGAGGGTTGTGACCCATAGATAGAGAACCACTGAATTATTCCATTAATTGGAGTAATTCTCATATACTGTATGGGCCCCAATGCATCTGTGGATATCTATAAAACCTGGGCTTTCACTTGATGTTTGGATTTTTAAATTATCTTGGAATAATTATCCTGAAAAATGTATTTATTTCAGACTGTTTATTTCAGATAAATATTGATATTAAGACGGTTAAAAATCCCTAACAATTTATGTGGAAAGATAAACACTGTAAAAATTAATGTCACTTCAAGATTATATATTCGGAGGAATCCCCTATCTTAAAGTTAGTTCAAACAGATAAGTTATTAAGAAGGTTTATATGGGAAGGGCAAACTGCTAGGTTTTTAAAATCTAAACTATGATTACCATGTGATTTTAGAGGATTTAATTTTCCTGATTTGTAGCTTTATCACTAGGCATATATTTTGACTGCAGCAACAGCAACCAAATTAAAAAGACCACCATGAGCACAATTAAGTTGTTATCTGATTCCCACAATACCATGTTGGGAATTTTGGTCTATGTTAATCACAGTTCTACTGTAATTCTGTTTAAAGGCTGTAAGGCATATTTGCTAGACCTTGTGCTAGCTATATAGTTTTGACTCTTATTCACATAACAAACTGGACATTCCAGTTTGAAAATCCCAAACAATAGGGGTTTTTGAAATTTATGGAGAAATAAGGATATTAACATTTTGAATAATTAATTTCCAGTTAACTGAATACCTACAAGAAAAAAAATGGCTTATATAAAATTGCCAAATGGTGTTTTATTCACTAAAATATTATTTGATTTTGGCACAGACAACATTTAAAAATCTTGAATTACTGTTAGTATTGAAATGTATTTTGGATTATTCCAAATCTACTTCAGTACTTCATAAAAGAATGTTAAATATTGCCACGAATGTTGGATAAAGAATTGGACTATCCCAAAACAACCAACCAATAGTGAAGGGTCTTAATATTAAATATGATTCCTGTCTTAAAATGAGAACAGTTGAACAAAATGTTTGTTCATATTTATTGGACACCATAGAGAATGTTTAGAAAAGATTAGCATTCAGAAGGGGATACATACCTTACCAAGGTACTCTACTTTTTTTTCATTTCGGCTTAATGACCATAGACTACTAAAATGCTTTGGGGAAAAGCAATTTGTCTATGAATGTACGTGTGATATTTGAATGATATATGCAATGATATATTTGAAAATCATATGAAGAACAATGGATTGAACAAACATAAACCCTAGCCAAGTCATTTTATAAAATAGAGAATGTCACCTTATATTTAGTTTCAGATTGTTAATAGCATGTTACGATTAAGCAAGAAAAAAAAAAGGTCAAAATTTAATGTACGTCAAGAAATCTGGCTGTTTTCTACCTATATTAGAATCTCAATCTCTCTCTCTCTCTCTCTCTCCCTCTCCCTCTCTCTCTCTCTCTCTCCCTCCCTCCCTCCCTCCCTATCTCCCTATCCATCCATCCATCCATCCATCCATCCATCCATCCACCCATCCAGGAGACTCTGGGTAGCTTATTGTCATAAAATAACAATATAAAAATTTAGAACTTTATATATTGTCCTTGTTCTTCCATTTCTTTTTGTTTCTTGTTACTTTTTTAATATTTCCCCTCTTTGTTTCTATATATATGAAAGGAAATAAAAAAATATTTTTCTGAGTGATGCTGTCCTAAAATCACTCAAGGAATTGGTTATGGATTTGGTCTCCTTGATCTAGATACAGCACTTGATCCAGAGTACTGCACATTTTGGACTGTGGAGGGGACTTAGTGAGACAGCTTATGAGAGGGCTTGAACGCTTCGTCTTGAAAGAAAACACATATTGTGGGCCTAATTTTCTGAACATACTGAAAATAGCTTTTTGAGGATTCAGAGTCTGTTTGGAATGTTATCTTCTTACTGTGGTTCAAATTATGCTGCTCTTTCTTTAGCAGAAGATCTAAGCATTCCAAATATAGCAAGAAAAATACAAGTCCACAAATACAAGCTAGAGTAAGTACGGATACATTTTTTAAAACTGAAATTTGTTTTTCTCTTGTCGTATATGATCCTTTTAGGACATCTTTAATTCTTTGAAAGTGTGTGTTTTCCCACAGATTGATCCAAAGTGCTGAAACTGAAATGTTGATGAATAATAGAGTTTTACCCAGCTTATCTTTTACAGTATTTCACCCCATAAAAATTCCAAAGACAATTTTGTATTTGTGTCATACTATATGATACACATCTGTTATCTAATATTTATGTATTAAATAATGTGGTCTGCTTGGTAAGATGTGCATTTTCATAGGCAGACCTTTTGATTTACTATATTAGATTTCTACACAGTGACCAACCAGAGGTTGCTCATTGGGAAAACAGGGGTATCCCATTTATATCTTTTAAAATTATTATTAAGAGAATGTCAGAATCATTATTCAAAGTTCAATCAGAATCGAGCAAAAAGGAAGGATGAAAACAAACAATAAAATCCTGAGAATATTAGTCTAACCCGGAGGTTTCTTGGTACATTCTTGGTGCCCTCAGTATTTGACTAATTTTTTTCGTAATACCCCTGTGCCAAAGGAAATACAGTTCTATTTATTAAATAATTAGATTCAAATTAAAAATATCTGCAGTGCCTCAGTACATAATTTGAGAACTGTGGGTTTACTAATTGGAGGCAGGTTATGTGAAGACATGCAAATCTTTTAGAGTATAAGAAGAGATAAAAGAGTAGTCCCTTTGCTAATTATCTTTACCTCTATTGCGTCTGGTAATAAAGCTAGTACATACAAAATTGATTTCCATCAGTTACATTAAAACAGCAATAATGTCAAGATATTATGCTGACCTCCATTAAAACAATAAAAACAGTACCAGACCACTTAGTGTTTCCTATCACCTCTCCAAATGTCCTTAAGAAGGTAAATAATAATGTTCTATAAAATGATCTGAGGTAGGCAAGTCTTTAATCCAAGCAATGGCAGGAAATGTGGCCCTGCTGAACCGTAAATCCTGGCAATCTCAGCCAGTTTATCAGAGTTTTATTGCACACAATTAAGACAAAAAATACAAATGCATACAACAGCATTACAAAAAAAAAGTTATTATGATCAAAATCATGATTGGTATCTGCTTAGAATACAGGCATCAAAAAATGCTCATATGTTCTGGATGTCTCAGAGAATGTTCAATAAGAATTAAGTATCATCATCCTAGTTTGGGGATATGAATTGGACGTTGAAACTATGTAAAACAATTTGGATTAATTTCAACATCCAAGTTACATCCCTATTATACCCAACCCTTACTGAACATTCTCTGAGGCATCCAGTACACATGAGCACTTAAAAAAAATGCTTCAATTTAAGATCATGGGTCTTTCATTTTATATTGTTTCATGCAATCCTCCACCAGACTTGCTGGAGATAATGCCTTCTCTGTTGTGGTACCTGTTTTATGGAACATCATCTCCCCCGAAGTGTCAGATGACCATAAATCTATAAATTTCATCCTTTTCCTTCAACTTCTTAAAAAGAAAAGTATAGTATTAGAAGCCACAGATACTTCCTTCAAAACCCCTAATCACTGTGGAATTTCTAAAGTAGCAATGACATTTGGTCTAAATAAACTGAGTAGTAAATGCTTAAATTGAAGAAACTGCCAAGAAGTGTTTCTGAGTTAAATCAACCTTGTTTTGTTAATTCTGCAAAAGTTCAACTTGCTTCTGGTGAGGGATTTGGGGAATTGTAATTCTGCAAATCTCCTACTCTTGTTTTAATTTCTGAAACCAATATTTCTATATATAGACATGGATCCTAGCCCTAACAATATTTTAAAGAAACCAGCGCATATATTAAACACATTATTATTTGTAACACAGCAATTTTTCAATTAGTCTATGTTAATATGATAATTAATAGCAGTTTCCTTTTTAAATGTATCATTTATGATGATTGGAAATAGACTACAAACAGTCTATTTTGTTCCTTGACTTCTTTCCTGGTCAGATTTTAGGACAATCCTTTTATTCTACTTACAGAAATGAGAACCAGTGTCCAGGGGTATCTACTACTTTCTTCCTCATTGAGAGAACATATGTGCCAATATATTGCTGATCTGTACTTCATTGACTATTGTGACCTCCTGCTGAGGCTATCCAACTGAAGAGGGAAAAAATGGCTATTGTGACATCATAAATTGATATTACACTTGAGTGGACACATCTAAGGGCTTTCAGAAACCACAGATAAGCCCCTGATGTGACTTGTTTATTTATTTTAAGAATAAAACTTTATACTTATCGCTTACAGAAACGCTGGGCTATCACTCACAGAAATGCTACCAACCAAACCATAACTTCAATACAAAATCAAAGCATTCCTTAAGTGACAGCATTTTGTTTTATTGCTTCTTCTGACTATTCAGGACTTCATGGACATCATTTTGCCAGGTCTGTATCTCGCTGAACGTTGATAAAACTCTGTCATAAGTGATATATGCTTGGTTAGTTCATCTTCTGCCAATCTCACTTGGATTGCTTTTGATTTTTCTAAGCATTAGGCTTTACCAAGCACCTCTTTTCAAGGGATATTACATGATGTGATCAATATCAGGGTTTTGAGTGAGTAGGTTGTTTTTATACCATATGCCTATTTTAAAGAAATGAGAACTACCAATTTTTTCAGAACAAATGTTCCCTAATGTCCTTAATTGTGCTCTTTTCTCCATACACATATGTAGAAAAACTCAAAGTCTTGGAATTTGCTTTCCACCTTCATGTGTTGTTGTAGGGGAGCTCCTGAAAATGTGGTAATAGTTGTTGGCTATATATGAGACACAGAAAAATCTGTTTCTATGAAATATAAACAGATATAAAGGAAGAACATCTTCAGTGGCGGACCATAGGATAAGGAAATATTGCTACATATATATCTTCCTTATAAGATCAAAGAAACTTTTTGACTTATTTGGAAGAAGGTAGTGCTTGCAATCTACCTTGCATCCCCCTTCCCCCTTCTTTCCCCATCTACCCTGAGCTCAGAAGCTGTCAGGACAGGTTAATACTGGGATGAGAAATGATGATAAGGGTTGTCTGCTAGACCTAGGGGTTGGAAAATCATTTTAAAACAAATCAGTGGTAAAATATTTCTGTATTGCTTCCACAAAAAACTACATGGATGTATTCATGAGTACACCTGGAGTGATTTTAAGGAGATTTTATCTTAAAGGTTATCCAATAAAATTTTCTTTCCAGATGTATAATTTATCTGAATTTCATTGAGTGATATTTAAAGAGGATTTTTTAAAGCATTTCCCTTATAGAAATCTACTTTTCTGATAATTGGATCTAGAGTTTGGATCTGTTCTTAGATATACCATGCGCTTGCTTATTTGTCTTAAAAAATAAACTTGGAGGAAACAAATAATCTCCTATTCATACTGGGACTGTGTGAGATTTCCTACAGTATCTCCTGCTTCCCTTTAGTTTCCAGGCTTCACTAAGAGAAAATGGAACATTCTTCTTCAGAATGAATGGAACCAACAGCAATTCTTTAAAATGATGGATGAAGTAATTTTTCCCTCTCTCTGGCAGCAGTTATATTTCTCAGTGACACAGGAGGAGGAAGAAAACATTTAGGAGGAGCTTCCACTTCTTCAAAAAAGTAGACAGATACTTCCAGACCTCAGGTAATTTTTCTGCCAGAAAAATGTGACTTACCTAAATAGCTGGCCTTTGTACAGAATCCCCTTTGTTCAAGACGTGGCTATTAAGTACAGTAGTAAAGATGGGGATGGATAGATCATCAACAAGCAGGTCAAAGTTTGCCTGAGTTGAAACAAGTGTTTGGCCAGACAATCTGGATCCTGTTTGTCTCTTGAGTCAGGTAGCCAGTTGCCTGTGTCTGAACAGAATATTTTACTTCTCCCTTTCATCCGGTTTGCTTTTTTGGCTAGTTGGTTGCTACAGTTCACCTATAGAAATTATACTGGTAGCATATACGCATAATTCACCTCAAAGTAAGGCTGGGAAACCCATAATCCTCCAGACTTTGCTAAGCACAATTCCTGAATGTCTCAGTCAGTAATAGGGAGGTGTGATTCAGCAACAGCTAGTGGATCTTAGGTTTTCCAATCCCTTCTTCTAATCATAATTATTACTCTATAACAGATCATTGATCTAAAAATGAATTTTCACAAGGTGTTTTTTTTACTTAAGCATACATGTTATACCAGCTGTAAAATATAGTTAGACAAATCTCAGAGCTGGTCTTTTAAAATATTTGTAGCTGGGGTCCTGATACCAAGAGTCTGCTTTCTTAGAATCTTAGTAAATAAAGCAAAGGGACTCAGTAACCTTCCAGATATTGTTGAATTCTGATTTATATTGTGCCCTGTCACAAACTCCAAATGGTTGGCTAGGTTGTATTCTTCACATCTGAAGTAATGGATCACTATCTAGGTATAGATAATAGAAGCAAAATCATTGGGCTGTAACTACTTGTAGTATTAACTAACTTTTTTATTGGCTAATCATATGAATTGGGTGCTTTAAAACTGCTTTTTGAGTTAGCTTAGAAAATAATAACACAATAGTTCCAAATTACTCCTATCCTCATGATAATGCTTCACCACTAGAAGGATATCACTAAGGAAAAATAAATATTTTCTAATCTGAAATCTGCACTCCTCTATTTCAGTAGTTCCAGAGGACTATTGAAAGCTTTTCTTTTGGAATGAAATAACTGAAAATATAATCCATTCTACTATTCCCTTGACAGACACCAAATACTTAATTCCCTTTGAAAAGTGAAGGATAGGTTTGCATATTCCTCTTATAGGGATTTTATTTTCCTCTTATAATATAATGGACTACTAGCATTATTACCAATATTCCAGTAGTTCTTGGGCAGAGCAGGATAAAATCAGTAATCGCTACCCTGAAGAAATGTTCAATAATGAGCATTAATGAAGGAAGGAGAGGAAAGCCATGTTTTGTACATTTTATACAAAATGTATTGTACTAATGCCTCCAGTGCAATTTTTAGCCTCTCTTAGCAATTATAGCCCTTTGTAGGCATTCGCTTGCTTAAGCAAATGGCTCAAATATTGTAGGAAATCTAGGACTGCCGGCAAACCCTGTCTACATAGGTCATTTTACATTTAGAAGAGAACCAGATTTATAAGAGAATTATAGAAAATATTTCATAAATTCTTGATGCCAGATTCAGCTGTTAAGTCTTTTAATAAATAAGGCAATTCACACTCTATTTTCAAACACAGAGCTGTTTTTCAAATGCTTAGTGCTCCACATCTTATCTTGTTTGATTATTTTGGTGGTTTTGCTGCTTAGATCATAGTATTGAAATTGCAGTCTGGAGCAGCTGCCTTGAATAGAGAATAGGCCATAGAGTAGCACATTGTTCCGCGTATCCCATCTACTGACAACCTGGGTTCTCTTGTGTTAATAAGTTTAACTATATTGTAAATCTCTGCATATTTTTTCAGGGCAAAGTTCAGCTATGAATTTATTTCCAGAGTAGTATGCATAGAATGCTATACAATGAGTTAATGACCCGGCATTAGAGGATTGAAGTGTTGCACTCATTAAAAGCAATCTACTGTACATATACAGGGACACGGTGGCTCAGTGGCTGCTGAGCTTGTCGATCAAAAGGTCAGCAGTTCAGCGGTTCGAATTCCTAGTGCCGCATAATGGGGTGAGCTCCCATTACTTGTCCCAGCTTCTGCCAACGTAGCAGTTCGAAAGCATGTAAAAAATGCAAGTAGAAAAATAGGGACCACCTTTGGTGGGAAGGTAACAGTGTTCCGTGCACCTTTGGCGTTTAGTCATGCCGGCCACATGACCAGGGAGACGTCTTCGGACAGCGCTGCTCTTTGGCTTTGAAACGGAGATGAGCACTGCCTCCTAGAGTCGGGAACGAGTAGCACATATGTGCGAGTGGAACCTTTATCTTAACCTTACTGTATATATATCTGAGCATAAGACACTCCAAGATGAACCAATTTGCAAATCGGTGTCATTTCAAAACATTTCTTGTAATAGGTAAAATTATAATATGGGCATAGCCAGCTACAGGTCAGTGATATCTGCAAAGCTGAATGACCTCTGCAGATTAATAGAAAATAATCAATTGCCACCAATGCTACAACACTAGGTGATTCAACATTGATTATAAAAAGACAATTAAGAATGGAAGAGTGAAGTCTTATCTCATTGAAGTTCAGCCAGAAACCTCACTTGAACCTCTCTTCCCCTTTTGTTATTTTTAGCATCTACAGTTTATGTGACTGTGAAAGCATATGAGATGCTATGTTGCTTAAAAAATGTTTAAAATTTACCAGTAAACTCTTGGTGTTAATGGGGGCATTAACTGACTTTGATCTGATACTGCATTAAAAGATTTCTAAAACTAGAGAGCAGCCCTATTTAATAAAAACTTTTAACAGAACTGTCTGACACCTTTACTCCTTAAGAAAATGATCCACTTTGATGCTGTTCATAATCTTGTTAGCTACGTTGGTCTGGGATTATTGAATAAATGTCCTTTTTGATAGATTGGATCTATAGAATGCCATTGGATAAATAGTCAAAGAAGCTGATTGGTCAGGGTTAAGTGGTAGACAAATGTTAGATAAGCTAATAAAGGATCCCTTTGGATTTAGTCAATCATGATCTTGCTTTTTTCAAGCCTTTTGGATATGCTCAATGCCTCTCCCTGCTATTGAATTCAGAATGGTAGCTGGTAGCTGAAAGACAGCTCTCAGTGCCTCTCATATGCAGATAAAATGAAATTGTTCCTGACTGCATCTTCTCCTCTCCTCTCCCTATTTGGAAGAGATGGTGGATGAAAATTAAACATTGACCTCAACAGCCTAGAGCTGTGAAAGTATTTAATTAAACAACCCCATGATATTATACAGTGCAATTCCTTTCTCACCCTTCGGGGTTGTCTTGTCTTCTTCAAAGTTGGGTCCAAGAGGCCTGGAAGATGGAATATTTTAGCACAGTATCTTAGCTGTTCCTAGCACTGCACTCTTCTGGACAGAGAGCTCTGATGTTGTTCTTGGGATCTGTTAGAGCCATTTTCCCAGTTTAGGAGTTTGTGCCCCAAGTGTTCCTGCCACTATTGGGGCCACTTTGGGCTTTACTTTATACATACATACATACATACATACATGCATACATGTATAAATACATACATACATATACACACAGAGAGAGAGAGATACACACACACATACACACACACACATATAGAGATATAGAGATATATAGATAACTGGACTGTGGGTATGAAGTATAAAAGCAAAGGAGATGAGCCATGTAATTAGTTAATTTTGTTGCTTCATGACTTCAATGCAACAGAGCTTCAAATGCTTTAAAAAGCTTGGTTTATAGCCACATCCTGTGAAAGTCAGACTGTGCTTCTGATTGAAAAGCATTACTTTAATTCCTGTAATGGGGATTTAATTATTTTAGTTATTTCTGGAGATATACAACTTTTCAACCAGGGGAAAAATGACTCATCAGATGCAATTAGATTTGTCTTTTTTAAAAATAATAATAAAAGTAATTAAACAAACAAACAAACAAAAAAAGACCTAGTCTATTTCCCCCACCCCCCTTAAACATAACATTCATAACCATGCCCAACTAGACTGGTCATTGTTGGAATCTTTAAAAGAAACACTTATGAAGGAATATGAATTGATCTATTACCAATTCAGCATAAAGCTGAAACAGCCAAATATTCCACATTTTAATTAAATATATGGAAAACAAGGTTCATTGGCATTTGTTGAAACTGCTTATAAATAAAAGCTTATGTAATAGATATGATGCTGGATTGCTAAATTTCATAATGTAATGTGTTAAAACATCCCAGAGATGGCATCTTGTCAAGAGACGTAACACTTTTCAATTATGAAAGCATTATTTTTTAATTTTTTTTTATTAAACAGTTTTTTTAAACAAAAAACTATTTTTTTCCAATTTTCTTCTTTATAACATTTCCGCATCAGTAATCATTTCTTATATATCCATTTTTCTCCATGACTTCAATTTACTATTTATACATATGATTCTACTATTGATTTATATACATAAAAATAACAATGTACTAAATTTCGATCATACATTCTGTTTCAGTTCCATTTCCACTTGTTCGTTACTACGTTTCAACTCCTGTATCTTCCTCATTTAATCTTTCCTTGCCCTTTATACCTCTCCTCTAACCATTCATACCATTTCTCCCATACCATGGAAGCATTGTTTTACCAGCCCACCACTTATCAAGTTGTGTGACCCCTGTAATAGATTGAAAATAAAAATTGAACAATTTTTTTTTTTGCAAATCGGAATATTTTTGTTCAGATATAAGGTAGTTCACTGGATATATTCTGAACACAGAAGGAGCGTAGAACATATTTTTTTAATTGTCAGGCTATACCACATTGTTGGGGTTAGCTAGAAAATTACTTATTCTTCAAATTTGTATTGCAGCAGCATTTTTATAGCTCTGAGAAAAACCTTTGAAGATGAAATCCAAGGGAGGCATTTTATATCACATAAGACATTCATTATATTTTAATTTAAATAAACAAATTCAAGGATTTTTTTTCAAGTACCCAATCAGTGCTGACCACAGCAGGATAACAAACACAAG